GGTCCGCTTGCTGAAAAAGCCATGTCTTGAGGGCGCGACGGAAGGTAAGGAGATCCGGAATCGTCCGAATCTCAGGGGGTAGTTCGTTCCAGAGGGCAGGGGCACCCACAGAGAAGGCCCTCCCCCTGGGGGTCGCCAGCCGACATTGCTTGGCCGACGGCACCCTGAGGAGACCCACTCTGTGGGAGCGTACCGGTCTGTGGGAAGGAATCTGCGGCAGAAGGCGGTCTCGGAGGTAGCCGGGTCCTATGCCATGAAGCGCTTTAAAGGTGGTAACTAACACCTTAAAGCGCACCCGGAAGACCACTGGCAGCCAGTGCAGCTCGCGCAGCAGCGGTGTCACATGGGAGCGACGAGTCCCTCCCAACACCGCCCGCGCGGCCGCATTCTGGACCATTTGAAGCCTCCGGGTGCTCCTCAAAGGGTGGTTTATCTTACACTATCTACAATATCAAAGGGTGGTTTATCTTACACTATCTACAATATCATACACCAGGAACAATATACATACACATGCTAATACAGCCGGATCCAACAAGCCACAATTACAGCAGGAAACGGAAGAGAGAACACATCAGCAGAGCCTTCCCTTTATACCAAGGCTCTTAAAGAGACATAGACCTTGCTGAGTCATTCTCATCATTACATTACATCTTAACATCTTACATAAGCTGGTTAGCTGTTAAACAATACCTTGACAGAATCTCTCTCCACTGACTCTCAGCCAAGCAGAGTTTTCTTTCATTTTATAAGGTAAGATAACCTTTATTGTCGCTTTTTTCTGTGAACACACTGGCACACATTAAAAAATGAAATTCTGATGCCCGGTCTCAAAAGAATTTGAGAACAATTAACCAGTGGAACAGAAGTTGCCTTCAGAAGTTGTGCGTGCTCCAACACTGGAGGTTTTTAAGAAGAGACTGGACAGCCATTTGTCTGAAATGGTAGAGGGTTTCCTGCTTGAGCAGGGGGTTGGACTAGATGACCTCCAAGGTCTATTCCAATCCTGTTATTCTGAATTCTGTTAAATGGCAACTTGGGCAATAAAAAAAGAGGGCTAGTAACTTATTGCTAAAAGTGGGTCGAGGAGCAACAAATGTGCTGACTTCTGTTGGCATGTTTTCTGTCCCTCATCTCCACATCACTTCATTAGACCCACCCTATCTGCACAGAAGGATTTAATTTAGAAATAGGATTTGTAGAGCAATTGATCACGCATTCACCCGTTCCCTTGAGTTACCCTCTCTAACATTTCTGCCTCTTCCCACAAGGATCCGGATCGCCGGCATCAGGGGCATCCAGGGAGTTGTCCGTAAGACAGTGAATGATGAGCTCAGAGCCACCATCTGGGAGCCTCAGCACATGGACAAGATTGTCCCCTCCCTGCTTTTCAACATGCAGAAGACAGAAGATCTGGATGGGTATGTCTGCCTTGAGGAAGACTGTGTCTTCTTCCTTCTGAGGTCTCCCTTGACCTTTTGTTGATCTCAGTTGACTAATGTTGATTAATCATGACCAATGTGGACCTCTGTTGACCAGTGTTGACCTTGGTTGACCTCAGTTGATCTTTTTTTACCTATGTTGACCACTAATAACCTTGGTTGACCTCAGTTGGCCACTGTTGACCAATGTTTACCACTGGAACTCAGTTGATCTCCGTTGACCAGTGTTTACTATTGTTGAGCTTGGTTAACCAACATTAACTCCTGTTGACCTTGGTTGACCTCTTTGATCTTCATTGACCAATGTTCACTTCGGTTGACTTTTTTTGACCAGTGATGACCACTGTTGACTGAGGTTAACCTCGGTTGACCTCCGTTGACCAGTGTTCACCATTGTTGAGCTTGGTTGACCAACATTGACTCCTGTTGACCTTGGTTGACCTCTTTGATCTTCATTGACCAATGTTCACTTCGGTTGACTTTTTTTGACCAATGATGACCACTGTTGACCAAGGTTAACCTCGGTTGACCTCTGTTGACGAATGTTGAGCACTGTTGCTGTTTCCCTGGGAAACAAAGCGGCAGCAGCGATGAGCAAGGGGCAGCCGAGAAGGAAAGAGGCTCACGGGAGCCAGATGTCTCCTCTGGGAATGCGTGTGGCCCTCAGCATCTCTGCCAAGCTTGGCATTCCTGCCCCAGCAGTGTCTCTCTTCCTTCCAGCCGAATTGGACCCCCCGCCTCTCCTTCTGGCGAGAAAGAGGAGAACCCTGCTGTCTTGGCCGAGAACTGCTTCCGAGAACTGCTGGGCCGTGCGACCTACGGGAACATGAGCAACGCTGTCAGGCCCGTCTTTGCGTAAGTGGAGCCCTCCAGAACCTTTTGGGTTTTGCTAGGAGTAAGAGGCGAGCGATGGAGGGCAGCTGCGGCTCCTGACCCAAGGGCTCCTCCCGAGCCATTCCGACTTCTGCTTCGCTCTGTATCCATCCGTGTTTGCAAACTGGGCTGGCTCCTAGAAAGAACTAAAAGCAGTGTGGAGTAGTGGAAGGAGTCCAGCCACAGACTGTGCAGCCTCTTGTGGCCTTGCACCTCGCTGCTTCTACTTCCCCTCTGGAGTTGGCCTTGGAAGGAAATGAATTAGGTCTGGGGTCCTTGGTGCTCTCTGAGCTTGGTGGCTTTTTTGCAGACGGTTCATTGCCCAAACTAGGTAACATCATCAGTGCTAGAAGGGGGAGGGGTTTGCAGAGAGGAGGAGGAGGAGGAGGTGGAGGAGGAGGAAGCCTATGGAGTCCTTGGTGCTCTCTCAGCTTGGTGGTTTTCTTGCAGANCCTCCCTTCCTGTCTCCCTCTCCTCCAATCCTCCCTCCCTCCCTCCCTCCCACCTTTCCTTCCTTCCTTCCTTCTTCTTTCCTTGCTTCCTTTAAAAAATGCTTCAGGAACCCGAAGGTTGTTTCTACTCCTTTTGTACATTTCTTTCTTTTTCTCCTCCCGCCTTCTCTCTCTGGGGTTGCCAAAGGTCAGCAGCATCCACTCCTTGGGGGGGGAAGGGGGGGTTGAGGCCAACCCTGCAGATTGGGGCGTCCAGGGGGAAGCTCCCGAGGCTTAACCCCCCCGGATGCTCTCTCGGCTGCCTAGGATGGCCTGGTCAAGTCCGACATGGAGAAGCTGACCTTCTACGCGGTCTCCGCCCCGGAGAAGCTGGACCGCATTGGCGCCTACCTGGCAGAAAGGCTGAGCCGGGATGTCATCCGCCATCGCTATGGGTGAGGCCTCTGGGCGTCCGTGGTCTGCTTCTCAAAGTGTGGCTTTTGTCATCCTCCCAGCGGGTGTGTTGCGGCTTTCAGCACCGGTCTGGATGGGAAAGCGCCTAGAAGCCCTGGAGGGTCCTTGGGGGTCTTCTAGTCCAACCCCCCCTGCCCAAGATCATAGAAACATGGGGCTGGAAGGCACTCTAAAGGTCTTCTAGTCCAACCCCTTGCCCAAGGTCATAGAAATATAGGGCTGGAAGGGCCCTTGGATGTCTTGTAGTCCAACCCTTTGCCCAGGATCATAGAGTCATAGAAACATAGGGCTGGAAGGGACCTTGGAGGTCTTCCAGTCCAACCCCCCCCCCCGCCCAAGATCATAGAGTCATAGAAACATATGGCTGGAAGGGACCTTAGAGGTCTTCTAGTCCAACCCTCTGCCCAGAGTCATAGAAACATAGGGCTGGAAGGGACCTTGGAGGTCTTCCAGTCCAACCCCCTGATCATAGAGTCATAGAAACAAAGGGCTGGAAGGGACCTTGGAGGTCTTCTAGTCCAACCCTCTGATCATAGAGTCCAACCCTCTGCCCAGG